ATGGTTCCTATGCATAGTTCAGGGGCGGCGCATACACAGCGTGGGCGTGGCGCGGCATATGAGCATGTAGGTTATTATTTTACCATTTTGATAAAGATTTTATAAAAATTATACATGATATTTAAATATTATATCACTATTTTGAATATAACCTGTTCAAGAAGAAAACATTTTTTAATCGATATCGCCAAAGAAATGACTAAGGGCTAGTTGTTTCACCTTTTAATAGGTAAATTTTACCTATTAGATATAAATTTGATAATCCGCGCATATGATTGGGTAATCTTGCTTCTTACCCAACAGGTAAAATTTACCAAAAGATGGAACAACCGAGTCTTAATTGAGTATTTAAAAAAAGACGTCCAAGTAAACTTTATGAGAAGGAAAAAATAAGGAAGAATAAACGACTCGTGAGCATCAATACTTCGCAAATAGGCGGGTAGAAACAACAACTTTTGGTAATAACGCTGATGCCAATTGCGTCGTCAACACCAACGCCGACGCCAATGCCGACGTCAACACCAACGCCGACGCCAACGCCGACGCCAATGTCGACGCCAATGTCGACGCCAACGTCGACGCCAACGCTGACGCCGACGCCGAGCGTCGATTACTTCTGTCTATCAGTCGGAGCGCCATCCCGTCGCGGGGATGCTTCGTATAGTAAACGATATAGAACGGGTGATTGTGATCGCGTCACGTTTCTCAAGAGATCCACACCCATGTTTCACGGTAATTCATTGCTACGTCCGAGTGTCGCCGCACTTTATATCTTCCATTTATCCGTCACTGTTTTCTCGTCAATTCTGTGAATTTTGTTGCGATTGAAAACACAATCTCGCGTCAACTTTTTTTTCCTTCTCCAATATATAGATAAAACCTGAGTCCACGCGCATATGACGAGGGAATCGTGATCTTCGAGTCGCGTGGCGCGCGTTGCAAGGATGTGGCGGATGTCATCCAGATGTCCACCAAAGTGGCGGTAAAAAAGGATAATCGCGTATGATAGATGCACCTACTACAAGATTTACAGGACTTGCGTGATAATAATTAACATATGGTTTTTCTCTAATTTTGTTACATATATTTTTTCTTATCTAAACTCATCTTAACTTTAATATAAATTTGATCGTTTGAGATAGGGTAAAAGCAGGGAATGTGGAATTAGAGCTACTAATGCGAATAATAGAGATTTACTTTTTAAATAAAGCATTGCAATTTGACAATAATCGGTAGAAGTTGTAAACGTGCAGTTGTAAACGTGTTATGACAAACAATAAACTCGGTGCGACAACGTGCAACATTAATATAAGCGTTTATTTATTTATTTTTTGCGTTTGTGGAGATTTATTTAAAAAGTATTCTCACAAATTAAAGGTAAGTTTATTAATGCTTATATTACATAGATTTTATATTATATATA